TAGACTCCATAGTTTGCTTCGTTCTACGTCAACGCACTTAATGTTACTCGCAGCTGACTTTGTACCTGAAGTGACGCGATCTTGCAATGGATAACGATGTTCCCATACTTCACGAGGCCAGCGCATGTGCCTGTATTACGATGGGAACAAGTCACTACAATACTAACAAGTGTAGTTTATACATGTGGGAATATTCACGATGGTTTGGCGGTGAATTCTGGTCGCCATTCCAAACGCACGCTGTTTTCCTGACTGTCTCCTTATTCGATGTATTACAGACTATTCGCAATCCTTGTTTCTTGAGACCAGATGCAATTACCTAAGCCATACAGGCGGCCGCGGTATAAGAACAACGGGACCGAAACCTAGTAATAGGAACTACAACAGCTATGACTAGCTAAAATCCCAAACTAACTGAAGTAGTGGCGCTCAAGTCGTCGTCACTGGATCTCGGCCAAAAATACTAAGTAGCAGGAGAGGGACAGGAAACAACTCCTCCCAGGATTAGGGAGAGTCAAGCGGTCTGTTGCATCCCACGAACGCACATGGTAACGAGCTATTTGGACGACTGCATCGATGCTTGGCGAGAGTTAAACAGTCTGAGGCGACTGTGTACAAAATTAGAAAACATCTCGGAAATGCATAGACAGGATACATTGACGATCAAGTGGAACCATCCATCCACTCGGCTCATGCTTATATTTTAGTTAATGGTTCCTCAAGTAGATATTGACAGAGCCATGCACAACTAAAAATAATTGTGGTTGGAAAAGATTATACCTATTTAAACCACTGTACAAAATACGAACAGCAATGAAAAAGCTAAATGATTGGCATATATATATATATATGTATATATATGTATATATATATATATATATATATATATGCATTCCCCGGTGTGGCTGCACTTGTTGTGTATGTTAACAAGCTGCCTACTTGTCTATTACCCACTATGTAGTCCACACCGGCTCCGGAAAATAGTTGATCATTGCTGCAGAGGACGAAATGCACAGTGCATGTGGCCGTATTAGGCTCGAAGGGTGGTTCCATGCACTCAGTGGGGAGCGGACCAAGGTCCAGCCACCGTCTTATGTCAGGTTGAGTCCCAAATACAGCGTGCATGTGTTTACTGGTGAATGAGTGTGGACCGGCTCCGTTGATTAAACGTGGCTCCCATCCACATGCTTCCCGGTCTTATTCCTTCGGATTCACACTGGATATGGGGTGTGTGTTTGGAGCTGTGGGTGGTGCAGCGCAAGTCATCTATGGTCCCTCTGTAGACGCAGGCGTTTTGTACCTGGCCACAGTGACAGATAAATCCGAAACCGGATGCCGCCAACCATATATGTGCATCCGTTTATAAATAGACATCGAGCCATCGAAAACCATAAGGAACAACATTTAAAAATGGACACAAATGTCAGGAACAGCGAACAACTGTTTTTGGCTTTTGAGCTTTTTTCAAGCACCATTATCTTCATTTTTTGTTATTTTGATTGGTATAGCTCTAAGCACATTTTGCAAAGCACTGAACTATACAGCTTTTCCGCTGCTTTCTGTTTCGCTCTACACCACCAAGTGTATCTGGCCATTGGCAGTCCTCATCCTTGGGACCGCAACCAGGAGTAGGTAGAGGGCCAACGATTGCGAGACAGGTCAGCTATTTCAGGATTTGCCGCCAACTGATTGGCTGAACTCCACACGTTTTCTTCCAATTCCATCTCATGCGAGCAAAATAAGACGCAGCGTGGTAAGCGCTCGCATGACATAGGTAGAAGGTGGTCAAGCCACCTCAATGGACGCATGGCAACAAGGCGATCAAGTGGAAGACCCATGTTTCCCAAGACGCGACGCCGGGCATAAGTTGATGTTCAGTGTCATAAGCCAAAAACATACTCCAATCTGTCTACATTAGAAAT